ATAGCCACCATGTATTGTTTGGTGTGATGTTTACTAAGGTTAAATGTACAAGGCGAACAACGACCTGTTATTTCTTCTTAAATACTTAGGCTACAATCCTTGTAGCTGGATGGCAGTGCCCTCTATATACAATAAAAACCTTGTGATGAGACATTTCTCCACTCAAATAAATGCTGTTATTAAAAAAAGACAGAATGAAATCATTTAGCTAGCTTTAAAATAATTGCTATTGGGATCCCTGGGTGGCGCAGCGGTTTGGCGCCTGCCTTTGGCCCAGGGCGCGATCCTGGAGACCCGGGATCGAATCCCATATCGGGCTCCCGGTGCATGGAGCCTGCTTCTCACTCTGCCTGTGTCTCTGCCTCTCTCTCTCTCTCTCTCTCTCTGTGACTATCGTAAAATAAAAATAAAAAAAAAATAAAATAATTGCTATTAATTCTGTGATATAAACAAATTTTAGCCCCCACATAACTTATAAGCTTAACTTCTACGAACTGAAAAGGAGCCTCTATGATCACATTCTCCATTGTGGTAGCCCCTGGCCGTATACGGCTATTGAGCATTTGCCATGTGGCCAGTCCAAACTGAGATGTCTTGTAAGTATGAAATACAAACTAAATACTAAAGATTTAGCGGAAATAAAAGAATAGAAAATATTCCATCAATAACTGATGATTTCAAAAATACTAATTACATGCTGAAATGCTAATATCTAAGACATATTAGGTTAAAAATATATTACTCAATTCAATTTTGCCTGTCTCTTTTTATTTTTTATTTTTTTGTGGTCGGGACTAGAAATTATGTATGTGCTGACATTTTATTTCTATTGTATAGTACTCCTCTGTTGCTTTGGTCTCTTAAAGACTCAAAAACTTCAAAGGCCTCATTTCTGGCTGAAACTAAAAAGAAATTAGTAAGGCACCACTTAGTATTTCATTTTCACATTCCTTTGGACTTTAAAAATTTTGTGATCAAAACAACCACCATAAAAAAGTCAAATGGCCATGGGCAGACCTGCTTCTAGAACCTTGTCTTTCTTTTAGCATGCAATTATGTTAGTAAACATCACTACAGGTGTGGCTGCCCTGACCTTCCAGCGCATGCTCTCTGTTAAAGTGAAAAGGACATATCTTTTTAGGACTGTCATCTGATGCTTCCAGTAGTGATTTCCAGACTTACTTTCTTTTTTATTTTATTTTTTATTTATGATAGTCACAGAGAGAGAGAGAGAGAGAGAGAGAGAGAGAGAGAGGCAGAGACACAGGAGGAGGGAGAAGCAGGCTCCATGCACCGGGAGCCCGACGTGGGATTCGATCCCGGGTCTCCAGGATCGCGCCCTGGGCCAAAGGCAGGTGCCAAACCGCTGCGCCACCCAGGGATCCCCAGACTTACTTTCTTAAAGGACCAAATCATATTTTTCTCGATGGGTATTTTAAATGCTATTGAAAATATGGCTACACATTCACACAGTTGTTTATTGCACAGAGGATTCCTCAACTAACCCTGGCAACAAGTTAAAGGTCAATGGGTCTGATGCGGTTTATCAGTTCGGGGTGGTTCCCTAAATTTCTTGTGATTTGTATCATGAAAGGGTGATGAGTATTTTCAAATGCTTTTTCTGCGTCTATTAAAATGAGCAGATCGATTTTCCTTTTGTTAACCTGGTGAATTGCCTTAAATGATCTTCAAATGTTAAACCAACCTTGTATTCCTGGAATAAATTCCACTTGATCATGGAATATACTTCTTTTTATATGTTGTTGGATTAGATTTGCTAACATTTTGAGGATTTTTTTTTTTTTTTACAATTCCTGGCATCTTTTTGAAAGACATTTTGATGGGCAAAGAGCTCTTGGTTGGAGACTTTTATACTTTAAAGATATAGTTTTATTATATTCTGGATTGCATAGTTTCTCATAGTATAATTCATATTTATTTATTTATTTATTTATTTATTTATTTATTTATTTATAGATTTTATTTATTTATTCATGAGAAATACAGAGAGAGAGGCAGAGATACAGGCAGAGGGAGAAGCAGGCTCCTTGCAGGGAGCCCGATGTGGGACTGGATCCCGGGACCCCAGGATCATGGCCCGAGCCGAAGGCAGATGCTCAACCGCTGAGCCATCCAGGCACCCGTGATTTATTTTTTAAAATATTTTTAGTGTAATTTACTTTAAAAATTTGTTATTCCATAAATTATATTTCTTTTTTCTCTCATTTCCTTCAAACTTCTCTAATAGGGCTTGATTTTTAGCAACTTGACTGGGATATGTTTAAGTGTGTTTTTCTTTGTATTTATCTTGCTTGGCATTTTCTGAGACTGTTGCTTATGTGGTTCTACATTTTTCATTAGTTTTGTAAAATTTGTGACCCTTCTATCTTCAAATAATTCTTCTACCTCATTGTCTCTCTCCAGTACCTCAGTTATACATGTGTCAGACCACTCAGTGCTAATGTTCAGATGTTGTATATGAAAATATATTTCAGACCAATGTATTTATATCTGGGATTGATGATTCTTCTATCTGACTCTTAGGGTAGATGTGTCAGTGTCAATAGGAATAGAGATGGATTTGGATATTGTTTTTGCTCTATTTCTCTTTAGTGCACCACAGGCTTAAAATTCTTCTAATGGGGATTGAAACTTCCTTATGCTTTGTCTGAAACCTTGAGAGTCTTTTGTCAGTGTAACTACTCCACTCTCAGCTTTCAGCAGGTCTAGTATGCCTGTAACTACAGAGGGGGTCTCTCTCTGCTCTCTTGAACCACTTATATTGGTGTGGTGCCATTGACTTTGTATTCATGCAAAGCTCAAAATGGAAACAGAGGAGAGGTTCTCCTGGACAGCCCTACCCTTACTTAGGCCCTGAGGATCTGAGCCTCAATGGTTGGACTTTGCCTTGTTTTGGTGGCAAGTCTTGGAAAGATGCTGTTCCTGCCCCTCTCGCTTTGTCAGATGATTTGTATTTCTACCCTTCCCTCTGGTGGTAGCCGACCTTCAGGTGGGCCACAGAACAGAATGTTTTCCCACCTCTTAATGATACTTGGCTTTTGTTCTGTTCATCTTGCTTTGCAGTGATTAGGGGGCAGGAGAGTTTCCTGCCTCAATCCCAGGGAAGAACTACTTTGGCTTTGCTTGTTCAAAGGCCCAGGAGCATAACACTTTGGAGTAGGAAGGTAAGCAAGGATCCCTGCTTCTCTCTCAGCATCAGTTTATCATCACCCAATGTGTTCCTCGTTAAGGAGGGTTCTCTTGCTCTGTCAAATGGCAGAGATCTGATACGTGGGCATGGATTCCCCTTGTCTCTGAGGTTCCTAGGGTTTCTAAACTATTATGCTAGCCCTCACTTGTCCTTTAAGAATTAATATTTCAAATGTTTTCTTTTAATCTTATTTTATGGTTGCTATCTCTTCCTTCTGTGTTCAAAAAAAGATGAAAGAGTCTGGGTCCTATCCTTCTTCCTAGGAGTTTGGAAGCAATTCACCTGGCTGCTTTGCAAATGTAGCTCTCCAATGGGCTTAAAAAGTGATTATTTTTTATATTATCCAGGTTTTTTTTTTTTTTTTTTTTTTGGTTATAGTTGTTAGAGCCAGGTAACATTCTGTTTGGCTTTCTATATTCTGAGTAGAAGCAAAAGTCTTAGAATAATTTCTTTTGAATAGACCCATATTTTTCCCTTTGCTCTCATGTAGTACCCAGTTGGGTACCGTGGCACAAGAATCAGAGTCCTTCTACTTTCCTTCCTCCTAGGCATCCTGTTTCATTTATGCTTATTAATGTCATGAAGCCCTGTGAATGGGTATCCTAGTTGAGTATGATGAATATGGAAAAACTAGGGCATTTTTTCTATTTACGTAGTGACCATATATTTGACAAACTAGGTTTCTTAATAGAGGCAAATGACTTTTCCACTCCCTGATGGGCATATAGTAAGGCAAGTTAAAGGCTCAGGTTGAAGCTGGAGTCTGTGATATCCTTCTCCCCAGCTCTTCTCAGTGGTTTTTCTCCTAGTCTACCAGGCCTAGCACTTGCTGGCTGCACAAAATTTTGTTGTAGATCTGGATTGTTTGTAGAAACACAATGTCTCATCCACTGGAAGGAAGATAGTTTCATTTCTCCTGTAAAAACATCTAGCCTATATATAGGGCCTGAATAACTTATATTTCTGTCTGAGAAAAAAAAAAGCCAAAAGGAAGGTGAGTCTTTACCATAAAAATATACACATTTCATGTTCTCTTACTGTTCTCCTAAATTCTTTATTTTCAGTAAACTTTTTTGTACCTGAGAAAGTAAATCACACCCTAGGTCCCATCCCCCTCTTTAGAGAGGAAAAGAATAATCCTTTCTATTTTTGGTCAAGGATAGTTTCTCTGATAATAATTTCTTTTTGGGAAACACTTCACATAAGAGCATTCATTGGGATATTGGTTTTACCATCTTTTTGTTTGATTTTTCTCCAAATATGGCAGAAATGTCTTCTTTTCATGTCTCTGATTTCCCCCTGGTCCTTCAGCAATTTTCGGGTTGTTTACAGTGAGATCATCCAGGTCAAAAAAAAAAATTAGGATAAGATAAGTGTGGGGAAACTGGGGGACAGTTCCACTGTCGCCTCGCTGCATGGTTGTCTTTCGTTGCGTCCTAGCAAAAACTATTAAATCTAGCATCTTCTGACTTCCATTAGGGTTACTCCAGCTAGAATCCAGTAGTACTAGCTTCCCTCCCTCCCCACCCCCCACTCCTCTTCCCCACGTGGAAGCAGAGAAGGAAACAGCCTTGGAAGTTCTCTTTGGGCAACTGTCAACCTTGCAGGGACGTTTGCTTTCTGCTCAAGGAGAAAGGCTCCCTCTGGAGGCTTGGGCCTCTGGTGGCCACCGGTTGGCTGACGTCCGGGCCTGCTGGCTTTTCGGTGGAGCGGGGGGAGCGGGAGGGCCCTGGGAGCAGCAGGCCCCACCTCCCTCAGCTGCCGCCCCGTGTGACCCCAGCCCCCCACCATGCAGGACGCCCCAGCAGAAGAGGAGCCCGAGGTGGCGCCGGCCCAGCTTGCTGAGAATGCTCAGGGCAAGGAGGACGGGAAGGACGAGAAGCGAGTCTGGCGTATAAGGACAGTTCCCACTAGCCTGATCAAGTTCCATGCTTTCCAAAAAGGGAGAGGTCAGCCTGAGGCCAATCTGAAGAAGACTCGAGAACGGAATGAAAGTTTGGAGGGACGCTGCGGCTTGGGTTGCATGGTTATTCCCTGCTGCCAGCGTTTAAACAACATCTATTGTTTCATGATTTTCTACTGCCTCCTGGTCACCTCTCAAGGTGAGCCTGCGTGGGAGTGGCTGTCATTCTGGTGAGGGCAGCCCGCAGGGACCCTTGGGGTTGCTACCTGGTGGACGAGGAGGCCAGGAGAGGGATGAGGCCTGAGTGGAGGACTCCTTGGGGATGCCCCAGCTTGAAGCAGCTGTACTCTCACGTTCTCAAGGTTCTCAAGGTCTACCTGGAATCAAAACAGGTTAAAAATGGGCCATTACCTTGGGTTTGTGGACCTGTCATCGCTTAACTTCAGCAGGTGCCTGAGGGAGCCAGTCCACCCTAGGGAGTGTGAGGCCATAGATGGGCTTGGCCTCCAGAGAGCAGCCGGAGGGAGGGTGGTGTTGAGTCATTTAACATTGTTTGGTCACCAACCCTGGGAAGTTCAAGGTTAAATTATTCGGGGATTAAAATAAAATTGAATATGTTGTCTGTGACCACCCATTTGTTTCTGCTTCTGCTCACAAATTGGAGACATGCTGGCCAAGCTGCTCCCCGCCTGGATTTGGTATCCTTGTGTATGAGTTGAGGAGGTGAAGTGGAACCTCAAACAACCCATGTTAGAGACGGCAAACTGGAAGGTGTTTATCCTTGTCCACACAGTTAAACAAAGGATGTGAATTTGAATGCCTTTAGAGAGGGTATTCATTCTTTACTTGGCCACAGCCCTTACCATTCCCATTACACGTAAGATCCTTTACTATCCTGTTTACGCTGATGGTATTGAAGTTTGCCAGGCATGATCTGGTTTTGCTCTAAAATGTTATTTCTAAATAAGTACAAAAAAAATGCTGTATGTGATAAGAACCATATGAGAAGAATGCATAAATAATGATCAGTTTATCTTGATTTTATTGAGGAACTTTCTTGGGGAAGGGGCATCTTAATTATACCCTAATAAATAGGGTATAATTGTAATAGCTGGAATGTAGATAAGGAGTATTTACTGTAAAAGGAAATGAATGAATGAATGAATGAATGAATGAATGAATGTTTGGATAGAAAACCACTCAGTTACAGGAAAGCCTTGTTTCAGAATGGTGAGTGATGACTTTGGCTTGGATGATGGTTTCACCTAAGCACCAAAAAGAGTAATTATATCTGTTTTGTTCATCGTGTCTCTCCAGGACCTAATTACAGTGACTAAGACACTCAATTAAGTATGTATTGAGTGCATAAGTGAATACAAAAGAAGGAAAAGACAAATTTTCAGCACATTATGAAGGTCTATAAATAAATACCAGGCCGAAAATTTTGAGAGGATACTAAAAGGTGTTCACCTCACTAATGTACTGGGTGATGAGTAAGGTGCTTTACAGGTATTATCTCACTAAATATAATCCCTTCACTAGGTTGGTAATGAGGAGCCATTGAAGGTTTTTGAAGAAGTGGTTTGCAGTGAATGTTTTTAGCTCCACTACTTATTAACTGACTTCATATAGATCATTAGCTCAGTATGGGTATAACGTTGAGCCTTCTATTCATAAAAACAATATATCTCTTCATGTATACTTATCCGTTGATCTATTTATTATTTATTGTTACTTTTTAAACAGTTTTGAAGTAATTTCGAACATACAGAAAGGGTGCAAAGGTGATACAAAGAATACAGGTGGCCCCTCACCCGCATCCTCTAGTTGTTTGCATTTTACCACATTTGTTCCTTCACCATAATACGTACAGACTTTTTCAGACATGGTGCCCATTACTGCTAAAGATTCCAGGGTGAGTTCTCCCAAAGTGAGGACACTTTTCTCACTAACCACTTTTCAGTCAGGAATATCAGTGCAACACTACCATCAAATTAGGAATCGGTGGCCCCACTCAGATACTGCCAGCTGCCTCACTATTATCTCATTTTCCTTTCTGGTCCCAAGTTCTATCCAGGAACACACATTGGATTTAGCTGTAACATTTTAGACTTTAATCTGTAGCAGTTCCTCACTTTCCCACCTTTTTCTTATGTCCATGCAAATCTTAAGGTATATGGGTCTTTCATTCTGTATGTTGAATCTCAACCAATCTCAATCTGGGTATAGTTTGATGTGTCCTTATGACCAGACTCAGGGCATGCCTGCCTGATTGCATCCAGACTATAATGAAATTGGTGTCAGGCATAATGCCAGAAGATATAGCCATAAAGGTGGGATTTTAGGATTGGTTTTATTATGCCTTTAGTCTTGAGGTTCTCAGCCGTTTGGGCCGTGGGAGATGGGTAGTCATTTTTGGCATGTAGTAGCATTGTAATGAATCAAGCTACCACTTGTGTTTGATTGCGATGAGGTACAGGTGGAAACGTATCTTAGAAGCCCAATTGGCTCTACCCTTTACCTTCTGGTAGTGGTAATGACTGTAAGTGCTGGTGATGGATGGAATCTTTTGAAAGTTCTTATGAGGAGAAAATGACAAATTCAGTTCTGCTAACTCTCGGCTCAAGTCTGAGAATGCTGGAGCCCCCCTCACAGCCCTAAAAGAAGTTCTCATTTCTTTTAACCATAGGGCTTATATTTTTGGAACTCAAACACAAATTTAAGTGTAGGGGTTGATGAGTTATAATGGCAGTTGAATGCACAATCTAGTCAAGTTTGTCCTGCATCTTGTCTTCTGTTATGTATCCAAAAAGAGTTATTAATTTTTTTAGTCCATTAAGTTTGTTACGTATTAGGACAGGGTGGTGACTTCTGAGCTCCTTACATGTAGAATTGGAACAGTATATAAGTGTTTGTGTGAACACATATTTTCATTTAGAGAAGTGATTTTTATACCCAGGAGTGAATTGCTGGGTCCTATGGTGACTATGATTCACTTTTTAAGTGTATAGATTTTTCATGTATGTGTTTTATTAGTGTGAGGAAGTTGCCTTCCATTTCTACTGAGTATTTTTATTAAGAAAATGTGTTGGGTTTTGTTAATTGCTTTTTTGTTGTTTTTTTTTTTTTTTGGCATTCATGTGGTTTTTGTCCTTTATTGTATTGATATAATGAATTACATTGATTTGTTTTCGTATTTTGGTATGAAATTAAGAAGCCCCATGGCTTTTGTACTTTTAAATTTGGTGAAACATTCAAAATAATTGTAAACAGAGGCAACTTATTTGAAGAGTTTTGTCTTTCAACAAGGTACTTGTCAAAAATTCTCTGAGAGTATTTTGGCAGAAATATTTCAATACAAAAAAAAAACTTATTTAGTAGTGTTTCCCTAAGCTTACTAGATATTTATAAACCCCTAGAGAGTGATTTCTCAATTAAAATGTGACCTACAGTGAAGAGTCATTTGGGGCTTCACATTTATTAACTATATAATTGGAGATCCGTACTACCTCCTCATTCAGGCTGAATGATTAACTAGAAGGATGTGGGACTCAGAAAGATGTTATACTCATGGCTATGACTTATTACAACAAAAGGATACAGATTAAAATAAGTAAAGAGAAAAGGCCCATGGGACAAAATCCAGAATAAATCAGGCACACACTTCCATGTATCCTTTCTCAGTGGAATTGCATGGACATGCTTAATTTTCCCAGCAGCAACGTGTGTTAACAGATGCAAATAGTTACCAAACAAGGAAGATTATGTGAGTCTTGGTGTCCAGGGTTTTTTTTTTTTTTGGATCAGTCACGTAAGCATGTAGCATCTGTGTGATTGACCTCAGCTATTCAGACACCATTACCCCACTCTTGCATGCACAACAAAGAATACATTCACCAGAAATCATATTATTAGCATAAATTATGTGATCACACTGATACGTGGCCCAAGGCCTCAGTCATACAACAACACATGTTCACCTTGAATCACTTGTTTAATATAAACAGTTAGATCAGAGGGTTCTGTGTGGTCCAGGGCCTCAAGCAGAATATTCCAAGGGCTCAGAGTTATCTTCCAGGAGCCAACCAAAGGCCAGTCTTGAAGATAGGGATTCTTTGAACAACCAAGGCCTGCTGAAGTAATGCTTTCTGCAAAACTACACAAAGCCACTTGGATGACTTGCAGCTCATTTGATGAGAACAATTAGAAAAAAGCTCATATTAAAAGTGTACTTTTAGAATATATTTCAGAAAAAAGTATGAATAACATTTTATTAGCGATAAATATGGCTAAGAAATTAAGATATGTGAGTACATATCAAGAATCATATTTTTAAAAAGTTATATAATATAAAGGTGTTTGAAAAGTTTTTGAATAAACTTAGCTTCATTAATGTAATATAACTAATTTGCCTATAAATTACAAAAATTATATGATTTTTAAATATACTACTACATACCAGGCATTGAACCAGGAAAAAAAACAAACCATCAAACATAGAATCTAAAGTTGGTTATCTGGTGTGATTAGGCTTGAAAGCAATGAAAAAAAGCAGTATTTGTGCCCGTGAAAAATGCTATACTTGAGGTTTATGTCATGTAGTAATAAGAGTTATTTAAAATGTTGCCTAGAATGAAGTTCTTATTGAAGGCAATACTATGGGAGATGAATAGCTTCTTCAACTGACTTCTTTGGTAGGACTTTTGACTAGAAGGGTTCAGGGTTGATTGACTTCCAACTTCCCTGGGAAGTTTACAGAAAGATAGTAAGAAGGTTAGGGCATGGTCAGGGAAATGTGTGAGCTTCTCTGATGGTTCTATGAGATTCTCATCATTTTTAGCCACACACTGCATGTCTTGAACAGTTCCAACCCAGAATTACAACCTAAGCTTAATGCACAGATTCACCAGACCAGTTTTGTTAGAGTTGAGATATTGACTGGAGAAGAGTGGAACTGTAAGAATTGGGGTAAGGGCATTTGGCTGGAATTCAATGAATCTGAGGACCATAAGTCCCCAAATCCTAAACCTCTTCTCCCAGTAGGAGCAACTATTTCTCCTATGTCTAAAGAGAGCAATTCCTTTCTTGAAGACGCCAAACTGACCTCACCCAAGTTAAGGGAGTGCTGATTGCCCTTATGATGCACCCCACCAACCCTTATTGCTACCAGACTTATAACTATAATTAGATCCCAGCCTT